TGATGAATGGAAAGAAGATTATTCCCATCCTAATGCCCATAGAATGATTTGTGTGGAATAACTAACTCGAATATCTCTAAAATTTAAGATTATCTAATAGAAAATCCTTAAGCAATTTGTTGATTCTGCCAACACCTCCTGAAAGCTTGCTAAGGAACTATTAAAAACTATATCATTAATTTTTTCTTTTCCAAATGCAGTCTAAGGTGCAGAAAAACATCAAACTCCACTTAGCAGATGTAGCAGAGTTGTAGATGATATCATCCAGAATCGAAGGAATGATGTGAGAACCAAAGAAAGGAGGAGGGAACTAATTCTCAGTAACCATATTCCAAATTCTTCTAGCACCGGAAGAGTCATTCTTATAAAGATTGCGTAGTGACTCTCTAGTGGATGAGAGGGACTCTAAGGTACTTCTCCTAAAATGATAATTTCATAAGGTTCATCATTTAAAGAAAAATACTACAAATCTTAGATAATATATTTTGTATTATTCTTAAATTTTGTAATTTTTATGAAAAATTTAGAAGAAATATCCAGATTCATAATGCAATTTAGAAATTAATAACATCTTCTCTTTTTTCTTATTTCCTTTATTTAGTCTTGATGAGGTGAAAACCTCTTTTGTTTGATTCTTGGCAATTCTCTAATTTCTCACAAATTCCTAGTCTCCCAATGAATGTTCTTAGAGAAAAATATCTTTTCTTATCTTAGTTCACGTTTTAGCCAGAGCTTGCACAGAAACGGTGTTAAGGCAAGATAAAATAAAATCACCTATACTAAGCATAGCCTTGTTAATCTCAACATGCGTGACATGTCTTTGGATATTAGCCAAATCCCCTCCTTTTATGTCACTACAACATAAAGAACTTTTAGCAACATTTGAAAAATGTTACCTAATTGTGTATAAATGTTTTTAATTTATTTTTGTAACATATTATCAAATATTGTATACAGACCATGTTGTTAAAAACTTTTAATAATATTTTTTACACAATTAGACAATATTTTTTAAATGTTATCAAAGTGATATTTTTGTAATATTTTAATGATGTTTCTAAGTTTTTGTTAACTTTATAAAATGATTATTAGTTTTAATTTAGATATTGATTTCAATTGTTATATTTTTATTCCTCCTAAACTCCTAGAGTGCTTTAAGAGAATGTTAAAGACATTCTTAATTAGTTACTACTAATTATATATCAAATATCAAAATTCATTTATCTTAAGTATAACTATATAATTATATATACTCTTTATAAGTCATTCATTTATTCGATATAGGACTTTAATTATGGGTAACAATTAGAGATGAAAGAAATATAATTTTTTTACTCAATGTGACACTTTGATTTTAGAAGCAATTAGAAAAAATAATGTTGAGATAAAAAAAAAATGTTACTTATCTATGGAAACATTTTTCAAAAAAATGTTACAAAATAACTTATGTGACATTTTTTTTACTTGATATGTGACTTTGATTTTGAAAATAATTAGAAAGAATAATATTGAAATAAAAAATGTTACTCTATCTATAGTAACATTTTCTCAAAAAATTATTATAAAATAACCTATTTATTCAATATATAGTAATATTTTAACAAATATAAGAAAGAAAATGTTACTAAAGAATTAAAATGTACTAGTGTTAGGTCAAAAGACATCTCAAACCCTTCAAGCTTTAAGTTTTAATTATAATAAACATAGATGTTTTCTGAGAGAAAAATTTTTCAGATCTAGCATTAAGATGAATAAATATACGACAATTAGTTATCTTGACATTAAGTCTCATAGACGAAGCTCTTCATCTGTAAGACAAATGCTTTGTATTTAGTCATTTATGATGTTTGATAATACAGTCATCTTTGTCTACATGATTCTATAACAAATCAAATGGAAAAAGCTTCTTTGATACTCACAATTCACTAAAGGAACAAAAGTCATGCTTTGTAGAAAAAAGGATTAGCATGTCCCTTGAAGCACAAAAAACTTTAGAAAAATCTACTTCAACTGACACATGTGTGGTTCCTCTCTTTTGGTACCTAAAAGGTGATACATAACTTTATCGATCAGATAAGAAGTGACAATTTGGTAAAATGTATTTATTACAAACATTTAATACACCAACGAATACTTCTCTCTTTATTGAATGAAGATGAAGTTAGATGAAGCAAACTTGTGAAAAATGCTTAAGGATTTGCAATGATCATCTTCATAAAGCACCTATACAAAGAAGTTTGAAGATTCAGAAAAAAAAGAATATACAAACTTACACAGACATCATTGTACATTGAATTCATTCTTTTTGTAAAATGTCTTTTACTTAATTGGTTGTATCACGTCTTAATAGTAAAACGAAAAAACTTTGTTATCTTACCCAACTTTAAGTTTGTATTATTGCTTTGAGCTTAGAAAGATTTGTCTGTAAAATAATACTTGGTTGTTTGAAGCATGGAAAAACTTTGTGTTAAAAGAATAATTGGTTGTTTGAAGCCTAAAGAGACCTTTTTTAAAGAATACTTGGTTGTTTGAAGCCTAGAAAGATTGTGTGTTAAAAGAATACTTGGTTGTTTGAAGCCTATAAAGACTTTGTATAGAAAAAAATATTTGGGTAGTTACTTGAAGAGACAAGTCAAAAAATACTTAGGTTGAACCAGAAGTGACTTGTGAAAGAATACTTATATCATTGTAAAAGATATTTGAACTTGATCGAGTTGATCAAAAATTGAACGTAATCTTAGTGGTTGAAATAAACCAATATAAAACACTGAGTGTTCTTCTTATCTCACTCTTTATGTGCTCTCTTAAGGTCTTGTTACTTCTTCATTATTTTGAGAAGTATTGAATTTTTTATTGACGTTATTCACCTCCTCCCTTTTTATTGTCTTTTTTTTCTCCCTAATCTCTACCTTCTCTTTTAGGCCTAGGCAAAAATTCCCAGCCGATTTGAAACTGACCAGACCGACAGTCAGATCGGGTGAAGCGGATTGATTCTCAGGTATTTCAGATTTTTTCGAAAGCAACTTTCGGGTTCAAATGGGTTTGAACGGTCGGATTCGGTGTTGGAATTTTCTCATCCGATGTACCCGAATCTGACCGTTTATCTTCTTTGTCTTCACTGTTTATCTTCTCCGTCTTTACCGTTTTTACTTCGTCTTTTTTCTTCTTCTTCTTCACTGCGTCTTCTTTCTTCTTCTTTCTTCTTCTTCTTCACTCCGTCTTCTTTCTTCTGCTTCTTTCTTCTTCTTCTTCACTCCGTAAATATCATCTTCTCTTCAACCTTTCCCTGCCATGGCCACCGCCGTTGAGAAGCTTTTTGTTCCCTGCTCTGGTTGACGAAGGTGGTGATGCGGAGATCTAAAACTCCGCGATTTCCCCCAAATGAAGTAGTGACGGAGACCGGCGAAGGGTGGCGATGAATGGCGGCACGAGACGCTAGAGGAAGCTTCTCAAACTGATTAACCTATCCGATGAACCCGTAACCCACATGGATTGAACCCGCCAAAACCCAAGTTTTTCGTCGGTCGGAGATGGCCCCTAATTTTTCTTATTCGATTTCGGACGATTTTAAGAATTTTGGTCCGAAACCGACCGATGATCAGGCCTATTCTCTTTTATTTTAAGTTACTTTATTGCCCTCCACTTATCCTTCCCCCTGACCCTCTAAATAAACAATCTTTATATGGTGTTATTCACCACCTCTCCTACCTTTACATAATTTTGTCTTTTGTAGACCCACTTGATCTTTTTCTTCCAACTCTTGAAAGTTTTGTGCTACAATACAGCTACCTCCACACTTCCCCTAAGATTAATACCAATATCAACCAACGTTATAGCTTCCTTTTTTTGTTTTTTAACCAAGACTGCTTCACATTCTCAAAATATGGATGCCTTTTGGAAAATGTCATCATCCTGAACTATTTCCTTTTCCCTTTGCTTTTCTCTACAACTTTATGTGTTGGTTTCTTGTCATCTTTTGCTATTTCCCCCAACCATGAACTCAAAATTCTCAAATAGCTTGGTGCGAGCCTTATCTGCCTCAATAGAACACCTTTCTTGGGCTTTCTTATTTTTACTTATCTGTTCTCCAATTTTCTCTTCTCCCCTTCCCCCACATAGTCACATATAAAAAAATATTAGAATATTTTTACTTAGTATTATATAATTTATATTTCATCATTTTAATTTTTTCTTTTTTCTTCCTTCTTACTTTTCAAAATTTTAAAATATTATACTACCTTTGTTCCTATATATAAGACCTAACTACCCAATTTACCAAGATTAAAAAAGTAGATAATTTAATTGATAACAATAAATTTGTTTTATATATATATATATATATAT